CAAAATCCTAAAGTATGATTCATGTGTTATTCCATGCAGCAGCAAGGAGAACACAGGTAGAATTCCCTTGGGCACAAATTACCAAAAGATGGTTTCAAGCAGGCAAGGTCAGACACTTTCTTCCTGGTCAGTTACATGGTGTGAAGAAGAGTGACGAAAGAATATTTATTTTCTCCCTCATTGGAGATGAGGGAGTGTGACCTAACTGAGTCAAGCATTACAACTTTGTGGTCTTTAACCCCTTCATGCATTAACTATCCCTATGCCTGCTCGTTTACTTTGACTACAAATTCCCCACAGTAATAACATTACTGTAATAACATTACAAGGGATGCGGGTGGCGCTGTGGGTTAAACCACAGAGCCTAGGACTTGCCGATCAGAAGGTCGGCGGTTCGAATCCCCGCGACAGGGTGAGCTCCCGTTGCTCGGTCCCTGCTCCTGCCAACCTAGCAGTTCGAAAGCACATCAAAGTGCAAGTAGATAAATAGGTACCGCTCCGGCGGGAAGGTAAACGGCGTTTCCATGCGCTGCTCTGGTTCACCATGAGCAGCTTAGTCATGTTGGCCACATAACCCGGAAGCTGTACGCCGGCTCCCTTGGCCAGTAAAGCAAGATGAGCGCTGCAACCCCAGAGTCATCCGTGACTGGACCTAACGGTCAGGGGTCCCTTTACCCTTTTAATAACATTACGGACATTCTTTCTGCAATGCTTATCACATCCATTATTTCTGTAATCACATGCATTACGTCTAATGCTTATGACAAGTTGAATATAGAAAGCAGGAATACATTAGGATGGAACTAGGTGTTTCAGCTGCTATGTCTGCTCCTCTGCTCACCCTGTAACATTTAATAATGCAAGGCATGTGATGTGTTGCCGTTCCACTGAAAGTTTCCCAGCTACGGCTGATCCACTTCACTGGCTGCTGCTCCGTGGGGTAGGGATTGAGAGGAGGAAAATTCATAATGCATTATAAAGCAACATGGGCAAGGGGAGGCGATGCAGGCAGCGACAACACATCACTCATAAATGTGCAGCTTTTATACATCTCTTTTGAAGAGGAGGGCTGTTCTGATTCATCCACCATCAAGGCTGGGCATGTTTAGCCTGGAGAAGAGGAGGTTAAGGGGTGATATGATAGCCATGTTCAAATATATAAAAGGATGTCATATAGAGGAGGGAGAAAGGCTGTTTTCTGCTGCTCCAGAGAAGCGGACACGGAGCAATGGATCCAAACTACAAGAAAGAAGATTCCACCTAAACATTCGGAAGAACTTCCTGACAGTAAGAGCTGTTTGACAGTGGAATTTGCTGCCAAGGAGTGTGGTGGAGTCTCCTTCTTTGGAGGTCTTTAAGCAGAGGCTTGACAACCATATGTCAGGAGTGCTCTGATGGTGTTTCCTGCTTGGCAGGGGGTTGGACTCGATGGCCCTTGTGGTCTATTCCAACTCTATGATTCTATGATAAGGCATGGCATGCCAAGGGCACAGCGGCGGATTCGCGCTATCCCAAACTCGCCGTTTAGCTCTCCCAAACAAACTATGGGTTGTAAACCAGGAACAAACCTTGGTTGCGCCTCCTGGATAGTCCAGAGAGTGGGTGGCTTGGCAGCATAATGACTGGAGAGGAGCAAAGTGGCAGAGATCTCCCCAGGACTCCACATCCTCACGTTCACACAAAGCTGTGGTTTGGCTTAGTGTGACTTGCAATGCAAGGCTGTGTTGCTCACTGCAACATCTTCTAGAGAACTTGCAGCTGGAAATGACCCAAAATAGTAAGGTCCAAACTGGCTTCCCCAACCCCACCCCAACAGAGGTTGAACCACCACCTTTTCTTGGGGCAGGATGGGTCACAGCCTCTCTCAAAGAGGCGCTAGTCACTTCTGAAGTCCAGATCGAAAGCTCAATTCTGTGCAGTTTCAGAAACCAGGAAGGTCAAGGATCTGAGGAGCAGGTAGACCTCAGCCTTCCAAGCAGCTCAGTCTGTGATGGCAAAAAGCGTTAATGGAAAAATGTTGTTGTTGTTTAGTCGTTTAGTCGTGTCCGACTCTTTGTGACCCCCTGGACCAGAGCACGCCAGGCACTCCTGTCTTCCACTGCCTCCCGCAGTTTGGTCAAACTCATGCTGGTAGCTTCGAGAACACTGTCCCACCATCTCATCCTCTGTCGTCCCCTTCTCCTTGTGCCCTCCATCTTTTCCAACATCAGGGTCTTTTCCAGGGAGTCTTCTCTTCTCATGAGGTGGCCAAAGTCTTGGAGCCTCAGCTTCAGGATCTGTCCTTCCAGTGAGCACTCAGGGCTGATTTCCTTCAGAATGGAGAGGTTGATCTTCTTGCAGTCCATGGGGCTCTCAAGAGTCTCCTCCAGCACCAGAATTCAAAAGCATCAATTCTTCGGCGATCAGCTTTCTTTATGGTCCAGCTTTCACTTCCATACATCTCAATGCTTTAAATTAAATCACTCGCCCCTCCAAAAATGTAGTACTGAAATGGTTGTATCCATGTTCCCCTTTTTATTCCTCCTCCTACCAGATCATCACCTGCGCTAGGAATCGAATTGTTAACAAATCTATGACTCTTCTTTCTCCTTTTATGATTAACCGACTCCCCCACATTGCCATTATTACCTACGCTCTCTCTTCTCTCCTCTCTCCAGGCCCCAAAGAATCTGCTCAGACAAAGCAGCACTCTTATTACCCCAACAACCCTTTTTTAAACAGGAAAATCCGCTTCCATCTTCTCCCCGCTCCCTCCCTGCCCCCAGCGGCTTTCCGCAGGGTTCCAAATGAGTCTGAATTTAAACATAATATAAGTGTCTAATCACAACTGAATCATATTCTATGAGAACATGTTCAAGAGATTAAAGTAATAAGGCTGCAATAAAAGAGCTATTTAGCAAGTAGTAAAAATGCACATCAGATTCGCGAGGATACAAAGTGAGAAGTGAATTTTACTTTTCAAGACTGAAATGTAGTCTCTGCATCTTGTAATCATGTGACTATATGGCCATCTGTTCTAGTCACTTTTTATCTGTCCGTTCAGTTCCCCTTCTTCCTTTCACCCAGACTTTGTAGGCACACAAACACACAATGCGGGTGGGGGACTCTCTTAGCTGTCTTCCTTGCTTACCCTAGAACTCGAGGTCTGTCTGACAGCTCTAGCGAACAAGTCAGCACAACATTAGCATATTGATTTTCCCTTCTAAGTTTGTTTGCTGAAGGACTTGTGTCAGCCACACCATTGTCAAGCACAGAGCTTTGGGTTTCATTGGGCTCCCCTGGGAGGGGATGTTTCTCCTAAAGATATTATCTCCAGTCCTTGAAATGACTTGCAAGGCTTACAGCACCCAGCTTCTCTGTATCTGCAGATGAGTTGTACCTGGGCCATCTCCAGGGCTTACAGGCCGGATCATCTTTTGAACTCTGCACCCGCAATGGGAGACCGGAGTTTGGGGAAATAGTAGCAAGCTAGCTTGTATAACGGACACGGGTGGCGCTGTGGGTAAAACCTCAGCGCCTAGGACTTGCCGATCGCATGGTCGGTGGTTCAAATCCCCGCGGCGGGGTGTGCTCCCGTCGTTCGGTCCCAGCGCCTGCCAACCTAGCAGTTCGAAAGCACCCCCGGGTGCAAGTAGATAAATAGGGACCGCTTACTGGCGGGAAGGTAAATGGCGTTTCCGTGTGCTGCGCTGGCTCGCCAGATGCAGCTTGTCATGCTGGCCACATGACCCGGAAGTGTCTGCAGACAGCGCTGGCTCCCGGCCTATAGAGTGAGATGAGCGCACAACCCTAGAGTCTGGCAAGACTGGCCCAAACGGGCAGGGGTACCTTTACCTTTACCTTTAGGTTGTATAACGGGACGCGGGTGGCGCTGTGGGTTAAACACAGAGCCTAGGACTTGCCGATCAGAAGGTTGGTGGTTCGAATCCCCGTGACGAGGTGAACTCCCATTGCTCGGTCCCTGCTCCTGCCAACCTAGCAGTTCGAAAGCATGTCAAAGTACAAGTAGATAAATAGGTACTGCTCTGGCGGGAAGGTAAATGGCATTTCCGTGTGCTGCTCTAGTTTGCCAGAAGCGGCTTAGTCATGCTGGCCACATGACCTGGAAGCTGTACGCCGGCTCCCTTGGCCAATAAAGCAAGATGAGCGCCGCAACCCCAGAGTCGGTCACGACTGGACCTAATGGTCAGGGGTCCCTTTACCTTTACCTTTAGGTTGTATAACTGGCCAGATATAAGTGCAAACATACAATAGCCGTATCCCAGTTTGTCATTTTTAAAAGCTATACAGCCATAATTTGTATCACAAAAAATTGTGTGTGAGAAAGGGAGAGGGAGAGAGTGCGGACAGTGATTAAAAGGGCAAAAGGGAAAGCCATTTTAGCCCTCCGGAAAGTAAACACTAAATATTTTATGGACATATTTTTCCTCTCTCAGTCCTTAAGCAGGCTGGCGTTTTCTCCCTGATTCATTCCCGTTCGCTATCTCCTGTGTTTATCATTCTAATTTTATTCCTATTCTTTTCCTTGCCTCCACGCACAATTAAAGTAGCTCTTTATATTAAATGGATTACATGCTCGGTGCTATAAATAAATGCAGGAATTAAGATTCTCTTAACTTGTTTAAGTGATAAGAAATCAGAGGCACAAATCCCCCCCCCCCGCCCCCAGCCCTAGGAGGAACAGCAGCACATGTGTTCATGGCTGTGAGGCTCACATTTATGTGCGTGTATGCTTAATGTTGTTCTGCCGCGAGTGCAGGGGGAGGGCGGGAAATGTGCGTGTGCAATGATAAGCCAGGGACATGTTTTCTCTCCGTGTCAGTCTGTCTTCTGCTTATGTTCATAATACATGGCATGTTTATAAGGGTTGAAGGGACTTGATGGAATGTAATGAAAGTTGGTGGTCACTAGGCAGCCATGCATCAGCTGCGCTGAAGGGATTTAGGAACGCTTTAGCGAACATTCAACTGACATTCCTTTTTCTTCATTCCTGGTTTTAGTGAAGAATATGAGGCAGATTTACCGCTGAGTGGAGAAACAGTCGCCTCTAGATATGGAGACCAGCACCTGGTAGGTTTGTAACTCTTCTTTTATAAAGCGTGATGGAAATGGGACAGGGCCAGGCTGTGGCAGTTAAGTGTGTGTGTGTCTAGGGCAGTACTTTGAAGAAGGAAGCATTGCTAGTGCACTACCAGCAACAAATCGTACTTGATGCATACCTAGTAATGGTAATAGGCAAAACAGTGGATTTACAGTGGTGTGGACAGATCCTCCACACAAGGCACTGAGCTGAGGGGGTGCAAAATAGAGAAGATCCGTTTGGAGCATAGCTGTCAACTGTCCCTTATTTGGCGGGAAACTCCCTTATCCCAGCGCCGTGTCCCGCTGCTGTCCCTTATTGATGATGTCCCTTAAATTTCCCGGGTTTCAAAGGAAGCAGCTCCTCTCCCTCCCTCCCTGCCGGCCAGGGAGGAGGGAGGCTCCAACTGTGTTGCTTGGCTGCGTTGCTCACCCAATAAGGAATCTAAGAATGACTCGGGGGGTGGAGCTTGCATGCCTTGTGCCAATCAAATCGGCCGCGTTGCCTGGGGACTCGCCTTTGCTCAGCGCTTCCCAGCGGAGAGGTGACGGTGGTTTCCCTTGCTGCATCCCCTTTGCCGGGTTGCTGCGCTGTGGGAACCACCGCTTGAGGCTTCGTTTGGCTGCTGGCTGGGCTTTCTGCCTTTGGCTCGGAGGGGCTCAGAAGTCGAACATACCTGTGCCTGGAAAATCCCTTATTTTGGCTGCTGATCCCTTATTTTCGAGGCTGCTGGTCCCTTATTTACAAATCTGTAAGTTGACAGCTATGATTTGGAGGTGCCAGTTTTTGACCTCACACAGGGTGCCCAGAAAAGGAATGAAAGAGTTGGTGCTTTGGGGAGGCACAAGCCAAAGGATTGTACTGACAATAGGAAGGGAGTGAGCTAGTTGATGCATTAGGGTTGGAGCTGTGACAGGTGAAAAGGAAGTGTGCAGCTATGGCACCTGCACATGGCTTCATAAATCATCGTTTGTGAAGCCGTGGACAATTGTCTGAATGTGGCTGTTGGGTCTCCAGGGCCCAGCACCCAATGAGAGGCATGAAGAAAATTGAGCATCCCTGCAAAATGGGAGTGAGGGATATGCATAAAGTGTGCATAAAAACCCCCCACAGTTGCAGGGTGGGCTGCTTACACACCGCACCTTTAAAGTGTGTGGCTTGCCCCAAAGAATCCTGGGAACTGTGGTTTGGATCAGCTGCTGGGAATTGCAGCTCTGAGAGGTGTGACGGTTCTCAAGATTCTTTGGGGGAAGCCATGTCCTTTAAATCTATGGTGTGTACACAGAAAGAGTTGCAGATACTCCTGGACAAAGAGGTCCGTTGGAGGTGGCGCTTAAAACAGGCTGCAGGAGAAAACTCCATCTTCAGGCTTAGCAAATTAACATGGGGTTACAGAATGGTTACCGGACGTCCCCGGTTCCCGGGGACAGTTCCCAGATTTGCAAATCTGTCCCCGCAAAATGTGGCAGCAGCAGCAGCCTCAGCAGCCCGGAGCCAGCCTGTTAGCGCTGCTCGGTGCCATGGCGCCTGCCATTTTACCTGCGCCACGGCAGCGAGCATCTCTTGAAGCCAGCCAGAGCCAACTGCACTACCAGGCTGGCCCCTCCTGGGCAACAGCCGCCCGCCTGTGACTCCTGAGCCTCCCCTGATCTGTCAAAACAAAGGGGGAAGGTAGACCAGGGAAGGCTCGGAAGTCATGGGCAGGTGGCGTGCCATTGCCCAGTTTTTTAAAAAAACCTCTGCATTTATGTTTCACAGGGTGCGAAAGAAGGGCTTTGCACCTTTATACAATAGGCATGTGTGCTTGGGCCCAGGGTCATTTGCCTCACTATCCCCACTACTGACTCCCTATTGCTACTCAGCTTCCAAAAAAAAAAAAAAAAAGGGTCCCCGGATTCATTGAAAAAAATCTGGTAACCATAGGTTACAGTCTGTTAGTTATCCCATGCAAGTCCCATTAAATGAACAGGAGCTGGCAGGAGCGCTGTTGGACACTTGCACAGATCATTGGCTTCAGCTGGGCTTTTGCAGAAGTTCAAAGTTGACCGCGATCTCCACCTGCCACACTTCATGGGAACCAAAACCCCACTGCCTGACAACACAGCCAGCGAGCCCCACAGACGGGGAGTCTCCAGCTTAGCAACATGCGTCTCTCTTTCTCCCCTTCCGCAGCGTGATGCTCCCTCTGGTCTCCTGCTTCCACCTGCTGCAGCTCTGGCCTTTCTTACTTCTCGCCACAGCACTTCCATCCCACAGCGCCTGGTCTCTGCGCACCCGGGGCCTTCTGGCAGCGCGGCCCCTCTGCAGCCACCGCAGCCCTTCCTCCCCTCGGTCCGTTTGCATCTGGGACAAGAACCCAGCCCCGGAGAAAGGGTCCCGCTCTACCTCACAGCGCCATCGGTCTGTGGTTCCCAAAGGGGCTGGGCTGCGCAGCTCAGTGCGCCTGAGGCGCCAGGCTCAGGGAACCCGGCCTGCCACTCCGTCTGGCTTCGAGGATGGCCTGTCTTCCTCCCAGTACCCCTGGGCCATCGTCTGGGGCCCCACAATATCCGTGGAGGATGGAGGCGACGCCAACTCTGCCAACCCTGGCTTCCCTCCTCTGGGTTACACCTTTGTTTCGTCAAGCGGAATGGCGACAGCGCAACCCAACTCCCACTCCCTGCTACACAACGAAGGGCTCAACCTGCGCCAAACCCCAGCCACCCTACGGCCCTTCCTTTTCGGGCCACGGGGAGAAGGTAACACTCATCTTCTTCTCTCGATTCCTTCCGGGGTTGCCAACTTTTTTCTTTTCTTTTTCCATTATTATTTAGAGTTTATTGATTTCTTTTTTCCAGTGGACCAATAAAGAGAAAGTAATGAGAAAATAAAGAAAAGGGTTTCAAAACTGTTCCCAAACGTGGGTTTCCAGCTGTTTTTGGACTACAATTTCCATCATCTCTGACCACTGGTCCTGCTAGCTAAGGATGATGGGAGTTGTAGTCCAAATGCAGCTGCAAACCCAAGTTTGGGAAACTCTCCTTTAATACAATGCAATATAGAGCTATATAAGTAATGCTATTATTCCAACAAGTATACAATTAGGAAAAAGTTGGTCTAATTTTTATCAATGCGTTCCAAGTATCATTATATTTATCCATGCGCAATTTGCGTCTACAAGCGATCCATTCATGTGTTGCAAGAGTTGTCATAACTTCTATCTATTGATCAAAGGGGGGCATAGTATTATCTTTCCTGTTTTTGGATTTGATATCCCACTTTATCACTACCCTAGGGAGTCTCAAAGTGGCTAACATTCTCCTTTCCCTTCCTCTCCCACAACAAACACTCTGTGAGGTGAGTGGGGCTGAGAGACTTCAGAGAAGTGTGACTAGCCCAAGGTCACCCAGCAGCTGCATGTGGAGGAGTGGGGAAGTGAACCTGGTTCCCCAGATTACGAGTCTATCGCTCTTAACCACTACGCCACACTGGCTCTATTGATATTGATTCCTGTGAATCAATATCAGTCTTTTGGCAGAAGTAATGGTGTGAAGAGTCCATCTGTGTTGACCAGCCGTCAAACCCCATATCATTGGTATGTGGTTTAGCGTAATATTATCATCTGACAGTTTTAATCCCCCCCCCGCCCAGTAGAATACAGGGACGCAGGTGGCACTGTGGGTTAAACCACATAGCCTAGGACTTGCCGATCAGAAGGTCGGCGGTTCGAATCCCCGCAACGGGGTGAGCTCCCATTGCTTGGTCCCTGCTCCTGCCAACTTAGCAGTTCAAAAGCATGTTAAAGTGCAAGTAGATAAATAGGTACCGCTCCGGTGGGAAGGTAAGCGGCGTTACCGTGTGCTGCTCTGGTTCGCCAGAAGCGGCTTAGTCCTGCTGGCCAATAAAGCGAGATGAGCGCTGCAATCCCAGAGTGGGTCACCACTGGACCTAATGGTCAGGGGTCCCTTTACCTTTAAGTAGAATACATTTTAATACTTTTCTCCAAAAGTTCGTAAGCGTCGGACACCACAAAAACATTTGTTTCAAAGAACCGTTTTCCTTATTATATCTTCAGCAACATGTTGCCAACTTTTTCCTCTGAATGGGCTCCTGTGTACCTTTAATCGCTTGAGTGGCAGGCAGAAATCCTACAGGTGAAGCTTTTCTCAATGCTACAACTGTGAGCTCCACCTGCAAGAGTGCTACTTTAAAAAAGCACACAGGAGGGCAGGCAGGGAAAAAGTTGAAACCTCGGGGGGGGGGGTGGCATGGACTGCCCTGTCCCCGCAAAATGGTCAGGAGCTGCATACCCTACTTACTGACACTTCCTGTCTCTGTCTGTTCCAGGTGTGGACCCTCAGCTGTATGTCACCATTACAATCTCTGTCATTATTGTCCTTGTTGCTATGGGGATAATACTCAAATTCTGGTGAGTAGATTTTAGGTAGCTGCAAAGGTTAATGGCATAGGATCGCAACTCACAGGAGGTGAAGAGAGGCACCAGGGATATGTTGTAATTGAGGACAATGCATCCAAATGGCTTAATCTTGAATGGAAAGGCCAATTTTGGTGTTTTTAGACATTCTCTACTCTCCAAACATTACTTTGGGAGCTGAGAATATATTTTGTTGCACAAACTGACCCCTTTACAAGTGGTCAAGCTCCGTAAATAAAGTAAACACCATCTAGTATTAAGTAGTATTAAGTATTAAGTAGCTAAGGGACGCGGGTGGCGCTGTGGGTAAAACCTCAGTGCCTAGGACTTGCCGATCGCATGGTCGGCGGTTCAAATCCCCGCGGCGGGGTGCGCTCCCGTCGTTCAGTCCCAGCGCCTGCCAACCTAGCAGTTCGAAAGCACCCCCGGGTGCAAGTAGATAAATAGGGACCGCTTTCTAGCGGGAAGGTAAACGGTGTTTCCGTGTGCTGCACTGGCTCGCCAGATGCAGCTTGTCACGCTGGCCACGTGACCTAGAAGTGTCTGCGGACAGCGCTGGCTCCCGGCCTATAGAGTGAGATGAGCGCACAACCCTAGAGTCTGGCAAGACTGGCCCGTACGGGCAGGGGTACCTTTACCTTTACCTAGTATTAAGGGTTTCCTACGTTAGTCAGCATCTTAAAAAGCAGAGACATCACCTTGCCAACAAAGGTCTGTATAGTTCAAGCTCTGGTTTCCCAGTAGTGATGTATGGAAGTGAGAGATGGATCATAAAGAAGGCTGATTGCCGAAGAATTGATGCTTTTGAATTATGGTGCTGGTGGAGACTCTTGAGAGTCCCATGGACTGCAAGAAGATCAAACCTCTCCATTCTGAAGGAAATCAGCCCTGAGTGCCCACTGGAAGGACAGATCCTGAAGCTGAGGCTCCAAGACTTTGGCCACCTCATGAGAAGAGAAGACTCCCTGGAAAAGACCCTGATGTTGGGCAAGATGGAGGGCACAAGGAGAAGGGGACGACAGAGGACGAGATGGTGGGACAGTGTTCTCGAAGCTGCCAGCATGAGTTTGACCAAACTGCGGGAGGCAGTGGAAGACAGGAGTGCCTGGCGTGCTCTGGTCCAGGGGGTCACGGAGAGTCGGACACAACTAAACGACTAAACAACAACAACAATGTTAGTCAGTACATGCATCCCTAATATAGATCTGCAAAAAAATATGCTGGTTACGTATTTATTTACAAAACTGAAAGACAGCTGCAATGCTAAAGTATGTAATTTAATTACTTCTTACAAGTGTGAGCTGCAGAAGAAGATATAAGGTCCAAAAATACAACTTTAAAGCAACTGACATTTTCAGTATCACATTAACTCCTTTAGGTTTTGTACAGCACCAATTTGGATGTTGGGATTTGTGTACTGGGAGCGAATTATATCAAATTTTGCTTTACATACCATATAGTTTGAACATTTTATAACTGCATTAAAACGCACACACATCATTATAGAGTTATATGTTAAGTTAAGGAATTGGTATGTTATATTTGAACATTTTAATCGACTTCTTTTTCAGTTGGCATTTTTTTTAAGTTAGGCATTTTTCTTACTACTTTGTGCATAGCTGAGGCTGCGCCGTTACACTTTTGTAACATGCTAATTACCGGTAAGAATGCAGACTAGTGTAACATTAGTAGGGCTGTGGGACCATTTAGAAAGCATGCTCTCCACATGCACTACAAACTTGCTTTTGGGGAAATTGATTCTGTAAGTTTGCTTCAAAAGCCAGCTATAGGCATTGCTGATTGGCTAGTGACTGTGAAGTCGCCACAATAACTCCTCTCTCCTATCCCTGAGGAAGTTTTGCAACTATTTTAAAAATGCTAAGATGAAGGGTGAATAGAGAAACAGTTAAACATGCATGTGGTGTTTTTACAAACTCATAGGGCAGGCAGATCACTTGAAAAATGTATGGGGGAAAGACTAGAGTGCTGACTGAACCAGCTTGATAGATTGCCTATCTGTCATGTGAATGTTGAAGTTGAGATGAAATTGGGCATATTCTTCAAATGAAGAGCCCACTGTATCATCACTTTTATTACCACCTCTGTCCTCCCAAACCACCAAATCAAGTTGTAGATGGCTTGGTTTACTCCCCTGTCATATTTCAAGTTCCATTGAAGGGATTATTTCTCTGACAGGTATTGATCTTGAAAATTTCATTTTGCCCCCCCCCCTTTCAGTTTCTTATAAAAGCAGAACACAGCTCTTTGAAGTGCTGGTACCCACATCTGTACTTAATACCTTTTAAAAGCTATTCTTCTGAATTGCCATCTTTATTGGTCTAGAACTCACAAACAAAAGAAGAGATCCTCTTTTCATACTTGAATTTTAGTTCCAAGCTGAAGATCACCTTCAGTGCAGATTTGAGGAGGAGGAAGCAAACTGCATCTAAAAAGCAGTAGGCTTGGGCTGGTTGGCCATCATTTTTGAGCAAAAACCAGCCTCCTTTGGATATGATTTGATAATTGCATCCTGTTTTTCTAACAACAATGCTGATCTCAAAACAGCTCACAACAATAACATTAGCATAAAGAATGAGTAAGCGTTTCAGTCAGTGCAATCATATCCAAACACAAAGCAAAAAAACCACAAATAAATTCATCAAACAATTAATACAATTCAGTACAAACTCATAGTGATTCAAAATATCCGGAATGGCTGCTGAGCCCCAGCTGTTTACTGTCGAATCAGATCAGACGTCAATCTGGCTTTCTGTGGGCTGACATTTGTTCCGATTCAGCAGTAAACAGTGGGTTTTCCTGGGGAAAGCGGTGGGACGAAAGAAAAACCCCGCAGACCTGTGCCTAGAAATCACGGGACAAGTCCCAAAGCAGATCCTTTTTGGAAGTAGATTAGTTGTGCTAGTATGGCAGAGCCCATTAATCCATTGCACAAGACCTAAAGATCTGTTATGCACTTGAAGCACTCCTGCAAAATAGTAACTCAAAAACAAAACAATTCATTAGTAAGACAAAGCTCTCCCTGACAGCCAAGTTTTAATTAAACAAATACCGTATTTTTTGCTCTATAACACGCACCCGACCATAACACGCACGTAGTTTTTAGAGGAGGAAAATCCGTAGGCATGCCACCCGTTGGCATTCCCTCCATAACACGCACAGACATTTCCCCTCCCTTTCTAGGAGGAAAAAAGTGAGTGTTATGGTGCAAAAAATACGGTAATTTGCGAAAAGATAAAGGTGTTCCAAAGGGAGCTTCGCTGGACAAGGAACTGTCGCAGCTGCCCTTGTTCAAGTCCTTGTCGATGTTGCCTCTGGAAAGGTTGCGACCCAGAGAGGAACCCTACTGGCATTGGGAGAAATATATGGGGAAAGGCCCAATAGGCACACATGGCTTTCATCCTACCTTCAGTACTATCATTATCCAAAGTGGTGGAAAGCTTGAGCAGAGAACTAAAGGTCCACTCCAACTTGGAGTCCATATTTTATGTCAGCTGTACAAGTGGACCTTTCACATTTCCATTGTACTTCGGGTGGACTGTATATTCCTTACAGTCGGAGGGAAGGTATTTGGGTACCAGGAAAACAAATTAAAGCATGGATGCACAATCCTCTGGTTAGGTCGCACCTTTCCTGATGGTAACAGCCTTCTCTCTCCCCACTACCCCCTGGCTTTCTGTAGCTGGGACAGGAACCAGAAGCGACGTCACCACTCCAGCCAGCAAAGCGGACTGCAGCAGGAGGGTAGCCACCAGCCCTTAACGGACCTATCTCCCTCTGCGGTCAGCATCCTGGGGCCCTTCAGCGACTCGCCGGCCCCTACACCAGACATGATGGAAACTGGACAGGTTCTGGAAGGCATGGAGAAGCTAGAGGGACTAGGGAAGACCAGTGCCTTCCAGCTCAACAGGTAACTCACGCAAATTGCAAGTATCAATCAATCGATTTATTGTAGATAGCCAAAGGCCTTCGCTATGAACAGCAAAGAGCAAAAGCAAGGCAATACTCTGGAAAGAAGAAACAACTCCCAGCAGTGCTTGATTTATAGCATAGAACACAACTACTTTATAATATGATCCTGGGACATTCAGGAAGTATTAAAAAATGCAGCTACATAAGAACATGAATCATTCTCAAAATATAATTATAAGCAAGTTTCCTCCAGCACTCTGTCAGAACAGCAATTGTGGATCACAATTGGGATAGTCCTCAGTATCACTCAATGCTCTTGCTCTCATTTTGAAAAGTTATCTATCAGTACTCTGCAAATTTAAAAAAGCATTTTGATATGTTACGATGATACTATACAATACTATACTATACTATACTATACTATACTATACTATACTATACTATACTTTACAGTGGTACCTCTGGTTGCGAATAGGATCCATTCGTAACCTGAAAGGAACGCAACCTGCGTCTGCGCATGCGCGGGTCGCGATTCGCCGCTTCTGTGCATGTGTCTGATGTCATTTTGTGCGTCTGCGCATGCGCAAGCGGCGAAACCCGGAAGTAACCCTTTCCAGTACTTCCGGGTCGCCGCAGGACACAACCTGAAAAAACATAAGCTGAAGCAAACGTAACAAGAGGTATGACTGTACTGTACTGTACTGAAATGTTTAAATGTTTCTTTGTCCTTGAATCTTCCTGCCACATTTGCCACCCTCCCTTGCTACCTCCTTTGAGAACCACTGCACTACAGGGTCACAATAGCCTGACCTAAGGGAAGGGGCATGTCACAAAAGCAATACAGTGACCACCATTCTGGCAGATCGCATATGTGCTGGTCCCGAGGGGAAAGGTTACCGTTGATGGAGTCGAAGTCCGGTCCTGGGTCACTAGCCTGGAAATAGTTCGCAAGGAGCAGGGCGAGGTCCAAAGCAGGAAGCCGAGCGGGGACAGGAACACTGGAGGGTCAGATCTGGGTCTGGACAGGAGCAGGTACTCAACGACGACGTTGCTCCCGCAACCTGGGACCGGCCTGACTGGCCTTTATCTTCTCTGAGACCAGGGGCGGCCCCGGCCCCCAGGAGCCCCGTCTCTCCTGGCCTTAAGGCGAGCACTCCTCCTGGGAGAAACCAGTTCCCTTCGCCTCTCTGCCCTGAGCCTCTGCAGTTCAGGAGAGGCTGAAGGGTTACTGGGCCCAGGGGGAGACTCACCTGTAGGCACTGAGTCCTCAACCACCTCTGGAGCCAGAATGGATTCACCTGGTGCCTGCTCCAGAGGATCCAGCACAGGTGCAGGCGCCTCAGAATCAAGGCCCTGCCCCAGTTCAGCCGGCCCTGGAGGCGGGAACTCCTGTGCAGGCTGGGATTCCTCCGGTTCACCCTCTGAATTGGATTCCCAGGCCATCACAGCATAAAAGATTTAAGAAGTGGGTCCCCATATGCATGCTTGGTTTGAAGGTGGGTCCTGGATCTGAGAAGATAGGACAGTACTGATGTAGTGCAAGTATAAATGCTGAGAAAGCAGTTCCTCTTTCAGCTGAAGCATATGCTCTGAAGATGACTCACTCTCAGCTGTACATACCCAGTGTGCAACAGCTGCAGCACAAAAAGTGCAGAGCTGTAAGCGTTGGCCTGTTTTAATCAATGGATTTATCAACCAGATCTGCAATTCTGCGTGCAGTTGGCTTCAGTGAGATTGTAGCAGCCTAACTGTTCGCAGGGATGCAACCCAAAGCTGTGGTTGATTAATAAGTTAAGGCTGATCAAATTTCAGTGGCTGGGACCATGAGCTACACATTTTTATAGTAGGTATGTTGCATCTGGTATGCTGCTCTAAAGAAAAACAAAAAACTACAGTGGTACCTCGGGTTACATACGCTTCAGGTTACATACGCTTCAGGTTACAGACTCTGCTAACCCAGAAATAGTGCTTCAGGTTAAGAACTTTGCTTCAGGATAAGAACAGAAATCGTGCTCTGGCTGTTAAGTTGTGGGTGAACATATCAGACAACACAGCGATTCTTCAAACAGCTCTTGTTTATTCACAGGCCAGGACAGAACTCAACTGAAGGGCTCAGTCAGCCTGCTTATATAGAGCTCCAGTACAATGTAACTGTAACAATTTTCTAAAACTATCCAATCACTGAACGTCACTTTCGATCCCTTATTTGCATAACTATCTACAGTATCCCCCTGCTGGCCCAGGGTGAGAACTTCAGTACATAACACTGGCGGCGCGGCAGCAGCAGGAGGCCCCATTAGCTAAAGTGGTGCTTCAGGTTAAGAACAGTTTCAGGTTAAGAACGGAGCTCTGGAACGAATTAAGTTCTTAACCCGAGGTACCACTGTATTTAATTGGACTAGTCGTCTGACAACAAACCACCGAGTTTATTTCATTTTAAGTGCTGACACTGGTATCTCAAAAAGGCATTTCTTTTTGCCCTGTTTGGGTTTGCCCTGTTTACCCCACATTTAATGTAATCCCATGGCAAGGGAGAGGGTAGGTAGTGGCAAGGCCCCCACTGCCCTGTGGAAAGGGGAAACAAGTGTAGCGCAGATCTATCTCTTTATGCATGAACTCTTCCTCCATAATAGTTCCACATCATGGCCAGAGCCTAGGTCTGGTAGAGAGGATTTCCCCTTCAACCTGTTGTGCAAGGGTGAGGTCAGCTGCTATGGTCCCATTTGCCCAATCTGCATTAGTGCAAGCACAGGTTTTTTGGGGGGGGGGTGTGATGGTGGTGGAGGAGAGGATGCCCAAATAAGGGCTACTGAAGTTTTTTTATGTTGTTCAAATCTATTCATATCCAATCAGTTGGAACCTTAATGAACTACAGCCACAAGTTCTCCTAAAATTACCTTGATATGGTGAAGAGATCAGGAGCTACTCTCTACGACAAGGGATTCCAAAGGGTGTGGGCTGGAGAGGATAGCAAGTGTGGTGGGATGGTTCAAAGACAATCAAAGAAACATTTAAACATTTCAGTGTAGTATAGTATCAAAGTATTTTCATAAACGAGATTACCCGGCAACTGCAAGCTCATACCTCTCATCGAGTTTGTAGGCATACTTAAGGTAAATATGCATGAAGCTTGTTCATATTTGGGGAATGATTTGTGTTCTTATGTAGCTGCATTGCTTTATATTTTCCGGATGCCCCATGATGTCAGGCTTTAGGGAATCAGATCCCCCCCCCCCAGGAGCAGTAACTAAGAAGATCAAACGAAAAGCGCGTTCTTACCAGATAAGTTATTTAATAATCACAGCGAGAGACAAAAGGAATGCATATCTCTCTAAAAATGCCGTTGCTCCCAGTTAAGGTTTACCCCCTCCATCCCCATTAATCTACGTCACTCCTACGTCGGGTAATCTGATCTTGTTTCCCTGTGCTTTCTGTTCTATCACCCTAAGTGCCCGTCTAGTTCTAGGCAAAGGGGGGTGGTCAGGAATGCTGTCCAAGGACACTGAATCTGCCAGCTGTCTCTCCTTGTGTTTGCTCTTCTAGCTGTTCCTCACCCAGTATTTCCCAGCGTTCCCCCTCTGGACTATGCCCCTCTGCAAACCACTGTTCTAAATCAATACTATCCTCCTGCCTTTGGGAAGGTTCAGGAAAGGGGGGGGCATGTGACTCCCACCATTCCTCCTCAGTCCTGATGCATGATCATATTATAAAGTAGTTGTGCTCTGTGTTACAAACAAAGCACTGCTAGGAGTCGTTTCTTTTTGTTTTCCCACGTAAAAAAATTCAGTGTGGTGCCAGCAAATTTTTATTCTCAACGTGGCCCAGGAAAAGAAGAAATTTGAGAACCTCTGCTGTAGTACAAAGGGTCTGGGGGAGACTTAGAAGTGCACCCTATGACAAAAGAACAAGAGACCAGATGAAACAGCTTTTGTCCTTACCTCTGAACACAGGGCGCATTGTTCATCACTCTTACTCTTACTCTTTCTCTCTCTTTCTCTTCCCCTTTCTCTCTCCTTCCGCCCTTGTTTCCTGCTCAGGATCCCCCTGGTGAACCTGTGATTGCCCTGGAAGCAGCAGGCCCGGCTCCTTCGTTGCGAGACCAAACACTGAGTTTGCCGGAGAGTCCCATAGAACTGGCAGCCCTCCCTTTTAGTTCCATCCGCCTGCGAGTATGCTACTGCTACTCCTCACGCAGCAGCAGAAGTATTGTAGATCCCTTTGTGCCCTGGCATTCCGTCAGCATTGCAGACCTAGCCCAAACCAAGGTTTTTGCTCAGGAGGAGCTGGGCTCCGTGGTGGGTCCTCATGGCAGAGATGATGACTGGGGTGGTCTGATGTGAGCAGAGGGGTGAGCAGGAAGGCCTAGAAGGCAAGAGCTATTAGCACTTTTATGGTAACATTTCAAAGATATCCCTTGTACCCCCGGCATAAACATTCATACACAAACATGTATTTATTTATGTTTAAGTAAGCATGCTTGATAATGGGATGCAGAAGCAGGATCTCCTATTCGGTGTCTCCCCATCTTTCCTCCCTTCCCTCATCACGCAGTTTTGAAGCATCTTCCAAAGAGCCAACGCTCACATCACATACACCTGGGCAATGAATACCTTTCTGTATTGTGGGGATGGGCATATATGGAGGGGAAATGGGGTGCAGGAAAATCAGACACTCAGCATTGGTATCAAACGGACACGATTCCCTCAGCTGTCATCTAATCTTCTTCAGCTGCTTTCACACCCACCCTCTTCTGTGGAATTGCCATCCTTTGCTTACTCACTTTTTATGGTGCAAAGTCACTGTCATCCTATTGCATTCCAGTTGGCTTCTCATCTTTTTTCCAGACCTGATTTGTTGCAGTTGTGGAAGAGGAGTAGCAATAAAGATTGCAAATGCGCCTGTCTACTAGGGAGGGACACACAAAGCACGGTTGGAGCTTTTTGCAGGCTCCTGTGCCTTTAATTAAACGCTTCCTGGCTTGCAGTTGCAGTCCATTTTATTGCTTGCTGGTGATCATGGTACAGGATAATCATGAAAAAATTGTCTATTGCCTTTCAACCTCATAATTGCCCTTATGTCAACTTCTGTTCCACTTGGGGAGGGGGAGAGGTTTAAATTACTCCCCCCCCTTTCTTATTTAAAAGCAAACCAGCATTATTTTGCTGTAAAGGTGCCAAAATGAGAGGAAATAAGTAGTTATAGCCTCCATCCTCCCACAGGAGCAGAAAATGACAGTTGGAACATGCAATTAAGAGGGCCTGCTGAAAGGACAGTTATTAAGCTATTCACTGTAATCCCTTTCCATTCCTCACCAAAAAACAATAAATGGGAAGAATCTTCAAGAAGGAATATTTTAATTAACATTGCTGAAAGCCTTTATAGAACTAGATTTGCCAGTTCATAATCATTATGAGATTCTTGGTCATGGGGGAAGGCATTGCTGGATAGCATCGTGCTATTATCATGTGCAAGCATGGAACTTCTGTTTTAATTCCAGTTCCAGCTAATTGCTGGTGGACTGCAGTGTCAAAGCAACACATTCTGTATTTTTGTCTCACTCCCTGCATCTCCAGATACACCATTCTCCCTCACTCCAGCGACTGTGACAGCGTTGCAACTCTCCCTCTTTTTCAGACTCCATTCTCTTCCCCTGTCTTCCCTAGCATATTTTTTGGCCCTGTTCCATGAATTGCTTCCTGTCCAAGTTATTTTTTGCTAAGCCTGGTTCAGTCTCAGTTCAAATGTGTGTGTGTTCCCCCCCCCCCCATAAAAGTAATTTACTAAGCTTTTTTATTTTTAAATTAAAAGTATGCATATAAGTTAATGGCTGGCAGATGGCTTTTTGCTCAGCTAAGGAATAGTAGACCCTGGAGTTTATATAAGAAGTAGTACTAGGTTCTCAGCTCCACCTGATAGCTAACTGGAGGGCACTGCCTAGTGCAGTGTTTCCCAACCTTGTGCCTCCAGCTGTTTTTGGCCTACAATTCCCATCATCCCTTGCCACTGGTCTTGCTAGTCAGGGATGATGGGAGTTGTAGGCCAAAAACATCTGGAGGCACAAGGTTGGGAAACACTGGCCTAGTGGAACAGCTGCAGTCCTCACTCTTTGAGCAGATGTCCTCGTAGCACAGTGAATAAAGATTTAATACCTATCTAACAAGGTTCATTGGCAAAGCCCCATATTGGCCAGGGATGCCAACTAATCAGGTTTTGTGGTGGGGAACCTTACTCTGCCCTTATACCTTTATTAACAATTGCTTCTGCAGAAATCAGCAGAGTAAGCTTTCTGTGGCATGGAGATAAACATCGCCTGCTATTTCCAGATGCTGCTTTAAGTTGGCAGGCTGCATAGCACCTAATAATTGCACTGAAGTTAAAGGGGACTAAATCATTTAAATTTGGGTCATGCCCTGGCTTGAGGAGACCATTCTTGCGCAGCAGAAATAGCAGCGTATGGTCCAGCCCAATGCATTCTAGTGTCTGAACCATGCAAAGTCAAATGTAGCCCCTCCTTAACATATTCAAGTTACAAGAAAGGAGATTCCAACTAAACACCAGGAAGAACTTTATGACAGTAAGATCTGCTCAGCAGTGGAACAGACTCCCACAGGAGGTGGTCGACTCTTCTTCCTTGGAGGATTTTAAGCAGAGATTCTAAAGCCATGTCATGTATGATCGAGTTAAGGTTCCTGCACTTCCAACTCTACAGTTCTATAATTCCATAGCTTGTCTCCTACAACAAGCATATTTCAAAATAATGGAGTCTGTGCAACAACACAGCTGTCCTCATATTAGGTCATCCACGTGCATGACCATGTGAAAGCTCTGGCTTTCTTCGCATTTATATCACCTGTACTTAACAGACCCATTTAGACACAATCATTTCCAGGGGAGATTAAATTGATGTGGCCCTTACTGCCCATGGTCCAGTTCATTTCCTCCAACCCGCCAGTTGTCTTTGGTCCAACTGCTTTTGCAGTGCAAGAGCCTGCAAAACCTAAGCACAGAAATCAGCGTAAGCTCCAGATTTGGAAGGACCCTTTGCCAGGGAGATCCCTCCCTGAAAAGCCCCAGCTCCTTTTCATTGCTGCTGCTGCACATTCGCTTGCCGTGTTCCTGCCGGCTCAATGTGCCCCGTGGCTCACAGGGAAAGGGAAAGGTCAGTAGAAGCAGCTTCTCCTCCTTCTCCTTCTCCTTCTCCTTCTCCTCTCCTTCTCCTTGCCCTTGTCCCTGCTCAGCCACTCAGAGAACGCAGGTGAGCAGGCAATGAAAGCCAGTTGAGATGCCCAATGATGCCAACCCTTGATGCCAGCCCTGAGAGAGGAAAGAGTGGGACAGTTCCGCACACCATCGTCAAGGATGCCGTCAACTCTAGAAGGGAGGGAACTATCTACAGCCTCATAGAGCCCTTGGATTCTTACATGCTGATATTTTAATTTCTGTAAAGAACCAAAGCCCTTCAACACGACCATCCTTTCAGTGACGGCGCTGCTCGCATTTAACACCCACCTTAAATAGGTGGGCAAAATGCTAAGCATAAGCACATTAGAGGTTTCTGAAGGGGGTGGTTGTATGGTGAATGCAGAGCCCATCCCTGCAGCGCATGGCCAAAGTTATTTGTTCTGCACTATCCCCAAGGAGCCCACATCGCGGGCAGGGGAGACGCACAATCAGCATGGGGTGAATGCTTGCTGTGCAGTCTGCGTGGCCTAGGGAACCTGCAGAATAAAAGCTGCTTGGCTTGATTTTATTTTTCAAGGAAATGCTTCTGGGCTAAACAGGTGCAGTGTGCATGCCCCTGTAAGGCGTAGGAGAACTCTCCGGATCACGGTTACTGTTTTGCCAGGGCTGCCAGCGTGGGTGCCACGATTCTATGCAAGCATGGAAAAAGCATGGAATGTGATGCCAGGTGCAGAATTCAGCTCCCTGAGAACCCCAGCCTTCATTTCAAAGAAGAAGCTCGCCCTCTATGACTATGCAGATATGCTTGAAAAATATGCGGGTAGCCCTGTAGGAAAAAGTTAACATTTCTGCAGTCAGGCATTCCAGTCTTTACAGCAGCCTTAGTGATTGCACAAATTGAGCAGATGTGCGTAATTCTCCCATTTTCCTTTTTACTGTTTTTACACCATTCATTCCAGTTTCGGTAGTCACGAATATGCAGGGCGCTAGTCATATATGCAAGACATAGAAGCCCCCCCCCAATTTCCCCAGTTCCTTTTTGCTTCTGAGGTTTCAGCAGCTTAACTGAGAGCCAGTGTGGTGTAGTGGTTAAGGGTGGTAGTCTCGTAATCTGGGGAACCGGGTTCGCGTCTCCGCTCCTCCACATACAGCTGCTGGGTGACCTTGGGCCAGTCACACTTCTTTGAAGTCTCTCAGCCCCACTCACCTCACAGAGTGTTTGTTGTGGAGGAGGAAGGGAAAGGAGAATGTTAGCTGCTTTGAGACTCCTTTGGGTAGTGATAAAGCGGGATATCAAATCCAAACTCTTCTTCTTCTTCTTCTTAACATATTTTAAAAACAAAAGTTGAGGTTCTCAGCAAGCTGAAGTCATACAAGGTCTCATGTGACGGTGTGGCTGTGCTGCAGCATGGGTCTTCTGCCTTCTGCCACATTATGGCCCAGGACAACGCAAGGATTTGGTGGAAGGGCATTCAGGTGCTCCCTCTCCTCATCTGGGAAGCTTCCCCCATTCTCTCCAGCTGAGTTGAAGTCCTGAAAGACCATCTCCCTTGGTGGTTTCTGGGTTGCGTGTGCCTCTCAAGTCTATCCAATATTACACCCCTGCTTAATACCATTTCCTGCTAACTATGCTCTTTCTTTCCCCATTTTTCTTCTTCTGTGTCATCATACTTTCCTCCCTGTTTGATTGCAGGCTGTCTTTTTATTTCAACATTCCCCCCCCCTTTTGTATACATACGGGACCCAAAGCAATGAAACCTTAAGAGTTACCCAGTCCCCCTTGGAACCAAAGGAGCAAACGAATCACAACTAACTTAAAACTCCTTGATTTTCAGTTATTTGTGAATGCATTTATTTGGTCAATTTATATGCCTCCCTTCAAAAGAAGGGCCTCTTCACTGTGTGATGATTTGTGCTCAGGATTGTATTGCGACAGTTATACACAACCCAGCCTTCAATGCTGTTTATGCCTACAAAGGTTGTGGGGCAAACATACCCAATTGGTGTATGTCTCACAACTTCCAGCTGAAATCCTGTAACTTTTTTATACCACAAATGCTTAATTTTTTTGTCCCTCTGCTGTGGCACTATAGTGCAAGAGCGCCCCTCCAGACAGCAATACTTGGAATAATATTACTGGTGAAGCATCACAGAATAACTAATAAAGCGGGATCACGTGTGGGTGGTTCAGTATACAGGTAAATCCACCACTAACACACTATTCTTACATCAATGGCAGGTTGCAGAATCAACCTGCCGAAAAGTGGTCT